CAGGAGAATTGCTTGAACCCAGGAGGCGGAGGAGGTTGCAGTGAGTCAGGATTGCACCACTGCACTCCAGCCTGGCGACAGAGAGAGACTCCATCTCAAAAAAAAAAAAAAAAAATTGAGTTGGGCTTCCTAATATTTAAGTTTCAATTGTTAAATTTAAAGGGCATCTTAGAGACATTACAATTTTAAGTCATTATAGAAATTCTAGGATTAATGAGATACAGGAAATGAGGCTTTTTAAATGTGGAGATTTTAAAAAACACACACCAAACATGTTGGTCTTGTAAGGAGTCCCACTCTCATATTTTTCACAATTATATTATTTTAAATAAAGTAATTATGCAATAAAAATTTTCTGGCAACTAATGGATAGAGTCCCATAAGCCATATGTGTGATTCAAGTCAGTATGGAGAAAAATGTATGGGATTCTATTTAATACTACAGTGAAATTTAAGTCTTTATTTAGAAATACATTTTAAAACTTCAAAATGTTAAAAAAATCATCTCCAATATTAGTATTTGCAGATTAGGCTATTTTAAAAGCAACATTAACCAAATTAGAATAGTATAAAAATGGGAGCAAAAGATTCAGCCTAAAAATGACCGCTCTATTATTGGTACCAACTTAACAATTAGGCAATACATAAATTGAAAATATGATAAAAGATGTGTTGTAAAGTATGGTGAACGGGATATTTAAAAATAAGATTCACAGTTAAAAATGTTGTCATGTCAGGATTTCCTTTGTATTCACACACACATGGAAGTTTTTAATGTAACATTTAAAACAAATACCATAGCTCTTGGACCCAGTATTCCCCGGGCTCAAGCACATATGATTATGTTTTTGATGAGTCCACAGATATTTTAGATTTTTTACAATTATAAGGCTCTAGGTACCTGCTCTGTAGAATTTTATATATAATTTGATTCAATGTCATATAGGAAAATGAGCAGGCAGGCAGCAGTAAATGCCTCTCACTGATTGCTTAGATCCTTAGAATAGTAGTTCTTGATTTTTGTATGTGTGCATCTGAATCACCTGCAGAGCATAATGATTCGAAGTTTAGGTTCCATTTTTAGAAATTCTGATTCCATTGTTCTGGATGTGGTTCTCCAGAATCTGCATTTTGCCAAGCATAGTAAACCAACATGTTGCCTTGCTGAAGGCTATGCAAGAATCATATCTAGAAATGTTAGTTTAAGAAGCTATCTATGGTAGAATGCTGTGAATGTTCATTGCAGCAGTGTTCACAATAGCAACAACACGGAATCAACCTAAGTGCCATCAATGGCAGACTGGATAAAGGAAGTGTGGTATATATATACCATGAAATACTATGCAGCCATAAAAAAAAAAAAAAAAAGATCATGTCTTTTTCAAATACACAGGTGGAGCTAGAGGCTATCATCCTTAGCAAACTAATGCAGTAACAAAAAACCAAAAACCATATGCTTTAACTTATAAGTGGGAGCTAAAAGATAAGAACTTATGAACACAGAGAAGGAAGCAACCGACACTGAGGTCTATTTGAGGGTGGAGGGTGGGAGGAGAGAGAGGATAAAAAAAGATAACTGTCGGGTACTGAGCTTAATACCTGGGTGTTGTAACAATATGTACAACAAACCCCCATGACGTGTTTATCTGTGTACCCCCAAACCTAAAATAACTATTTAAAAAGGAAGCTCTCTAGAATCCTAAGGAAGTAAAGCTGAAAACTGGATGCTAAGGAAAAGGACAGCTGAAAATATAGGCTAGAGGGACCCAAAATAAAAACTGAAAGAGCCTACTACAAGAATTATAGGCAATGAGTAAAGGCATCTGTTAGACTCTGGGTAGCACCTTAGGATGGGAGTGAGCTTTATGGAAACACTGGAGCACCAGCAACATCATGGTATCATCAACACTATATTGTTATCATCATCAACACTGTTGTTATCAACATCATCATTAACCTACTGGGTAAGAAAATACAATCTCCAGACACTGGACTAGAAGTTTAACAGATCATCTAATTTAATCCCTAAAATAAATTTAGGAGGATTTAAAATGTTAGTTTTATGTACATTTTCCTTATGACAAAACTGAGCCTTAGAGAAATTAAGTGGTTTACCCCCACAGTATATTTAAATAGCAAGAATGAAAACAGATTTGAATCATGCAATGCAACTCTGCAGAACCCACCTTCTAAACTGCTATTCTTTAGTGATATCTCGTAGCACCTTTGAGCTCAGGGTGGCCTCACTATTGTGTAAGGAAAAGGAATATAGCATTTACATAATGATTAGTTGAACTGTATTTTCAGAAACCATGGAGGGTGATCGAGGCAGCACATAAAAAATCAAAAGTATCTTAGATCTAAAGAAAGATGCCGTGAGGTTAGGGAAAAGGGAGATGTCAGTCATTCCTATTAGTAATATCTTTGATGTGATGGAAACAATGTGGAGTTAAAGAATGGAGTAGAAATTAATGGGAACAGTGTGAATGGATGGAACCTCTGATGGTCAAAAGGCTGAATGCCCCAAGGTGATGTGATTCAGCCATCTGGTGCTTGAGATCAAATTATCTAACATGTATGAAACTGTCCGAAAACTTCCCTTGGTGATTCAGGCTTAAGGAAGAGACCATGCTTTCTTCATCCCCCTTGTAAGTACAAGCTTTGTTGCTGATTTTTTCTGTCAAAACAATGTGGCTGGGAACAAAATACAATAATACCTTTAATCAGACAAATGTGGGTTTAAAACCCTGTCCTAAGCCATCAGAGAGCCTTGGGCAGGCTCCTTCCTATCTCTGAACTTTAAGCTTTTGCACATACATAAAATAAAGTGATAAATATCTACTTAAAAATAATATTACTAGAATTAAATGAGACAGTAGATAACAGTAGATAAACAGTACTTGGCACTTAGTAGGTTCTTCTCCAACCCTTAAGTTACATTTAATTTCACTTGCACTGCCATGTCAGGAAGGTACATGCAGTATCTAACATAGTTTTAGTTCTAACCCTTGAGAGATGGTCATGTTTGTAGCTTAAGAATCCAAAGTAAATAAGAAAAAGAAGAGGAACATGGGACATTTGGTGCTAAGAGCTCAGACTTAAATATAAATTCTTAATTATAAATCCTTAAATTAATCTTTAAAGTAATGGCATAAAAACAAAAACCCAAAAATCTCCATTCCAGTGAAAAGTGCTTTAGGTTTCTAGATCTGCTTGGCACTCAACTATTCTCTGCACTGTCTTGTGACCTTGAGCAAGAAATCTAAATTTAATAAACTTCTGTTTGTTCATCTAGAAACCAAGGGATATAATGCTCAGATTGTCAAATTTATTCAGAATGGGACAATACACAATTACTAGTTACAGTCTCTAGTGGCTTTTTAGTGACATCAAAGGTCATAAAGCTAAAATTGTATAGAAATATCATAATCAAGCAATTTTTTTCAGGCATAATCCATTATAAAGAAATATATGAATAAACAATCTTACCTCAAAAATCAAAGAAGAAAAATCATGAGATAATCTCAATAACTGATCAGTAGGTAAAATCTGTTCTAAGGGGTCCTAAGTAAACTAGTTATCTCCCCTTCTGCCATTGAATTTAGTAGAATTTTTTATTTTGTTTTGATGTGTGTGTGTATATGTGTGTGTGTGAATAAATGTGTGCTTGTATTTGTTTTGAGGGAGTTGGTAAATTAACCTTTGACATATTAATGTATTTCTGGTTACGTTTACAAATTTAAATAGGTTGCCTAAGATCCATACCCTGGTGTCACTCTTGTAATGGAGCTTAAGTCCTCTCTACTAAGCTAAAAGAAAAACATCTTATGCTTTGACTGTGATTGGAACTTTGCAAGCTACTAGACATGCTTTTCACAAGCAATAAAATGAAGCTGTCGGCCATTGCAAATGGACCAAAATAGAGGTCACATGACTAAAACACCCTTGCACCAGGCAGTCTCTGATGTATTTTATTCCAGTTTCAATCTATTAATCAGAGGAGTTGGGAAAGCAATAATTTAAATGTTGCAATAATCAATTCCATAACATATTAATAGAAGCTACAGTCAAACTTTGCCACACCACTGACTGCATTGGAACCTTGACAGGAGCCCTAGGGCCATGCCTAATTTGCATTAAATTTACATAAAATTATAAATCAAGAATACATGAACACAGCCCTAATGCTTGTTAGTGCTTAGATCTTTCCTGATAGATACATTGAAACTGCTGGTGGTTGGACTTCACTTGCAATAAAATTGTGCAGCTGATCAGCTTTGTTCTCATTCTGCAATTATAAGGGAAGAAATCCAACAGAGCAATAGTTTGGGGGCATGTGAATGCCATTTAGGATTTTTATGCCATAAAACTATGACTCAGATATGCCCTTGGAAACCCCGATCTAGAAGCAAATTGTCCCCAATGACTTTGCAGATCGTTGTCACTGGATTTGATCACCAGTAACTTGTCATTAGTAGAGATACAAACCACACAGAAACCTGGACTGCTGAAAAAATTTAAAAGTCCTCTGGAAAATTTTATTTTTCCAGAAGAATTTTGCTATCATAAAAGAAAGATAATTAGTGATGATCTTCAGGGTGAGGACGGATAAACCCAAACTTTCTTCAACTCAGCAAAGCATCTGGTACTTAATTGAGTGGAAAAGTATACTTCATATGGCTCTAAGCATCCTATGTGTTCTGGTATCCCTGATTTACCTTGTTCCATCAGCTGTGGCTTTTGCTGTATGTTTTCACACTCAGTGCTTGGTGAAAACATTTTCTCCAATGGCACTGGCTCACAGTAACAGGAGTATCTCCTCTATATTATTTTTGGTCCTCTCATTTTAAGACTCTTTCTAGACAGAAAATTGATGCTTAAGAGCAATAGTATCTTTGAAAATATTTCTTTTCATAAAGGCCTCTACAAATACTTTGTACATTATTACTCTGCAAATCCCACCTCTTTCTTACTGCTCTTGTTTCCCACACTTTCCTTACCTTGTACGATCAAGTAAACTTGGGAGGTCTTGGGCTCATGCTGTGTCTGAACTGAGCAAGTGTAGGAACCCTCATCATAGACATCCACCTTCTGGATTCGGAGGCTGTATTCCAGAGAATGGCGTTTCTCCAGCTCAACCCGTGGGTCCAGAGACCACTTGTCATGTCCAGCAAAAATGATGCCAGAACGGTTCAACCAGGCCACCTTTGAGTTCTTGTCTTCTACAACACACCTGACAGAGCAGAGTAACAATATTAGTGCTTAACAACAACTATTTCTGCATTTCTTCTCTAGGCAAGCAGACTCAACAAGTCCAAACAAGAAAAATAATTATACGTAGAATGAATTATTGCCATGCCATTTCTTGGAGTCCTTAGAATTTTCACTATTTCTTTTAAGATCTAATTACCATCCAGTGGATGGATGTCATCATATTGGACTCAGTTCAGCAATAAACAATGAGAGTATGAGTAATGAAGGCAAAGTTGAATTAGTATTGACTTCCCACTGGATTATCATCTTCTTGTTTAGGAAAAGGCCATTCACACAGAACTCCATCTGTTTATGTAATTTTGAGAATTATACAATGGATATCGTGGCACTTTTACTCTATCTTGAGCTGTGTTTACTCTTTATAAAGTATTTCCTATAGTAATTCTGTAATGATAGATTAGTTATACTCCATCGTTATAGGAATTAGACTAGATTTCTGAGTTTACTTCTAATCCCTACAAGTTTGGAATGCTCACTTCTAGGAGTGAAAATTGTGTGAGCAGATTCAGGCATAAGGGGATAGGTGTTATGACAAGGAAATCAAAGCAAACATCATGTAGCATAAGTTTGGTTACAGCTGCTGAAGGCATAAGCTTGTTTGGTGGCAAGTTAGGTTGCTACCAGCATTTCTTGTCACACTGAATGCACGCAATCTTAACAAAGACGAAGAAACTAATTTTGTAGTTCACAGACCAATAGATTAAAAAAGGTAAAGAAATAATGCTTATTTGAATTACTGCTTAAACGTAAAAGGGTCTCTTTCTGAAATTTGAAATAAAGAGGCAAAGAACATGCATTAGTGAAAGAGGGGTAAATACTTTTTGGTGAGTATGGTTTTCTCCTTCAGTTCCAGCAAGAGTCTTGCAATGGAATAATCTAGCAGAAAACAAAAACAAAAAACCTTCTGTCTGCATCCCTGTGGCAAGATTTATGTCTACCCCACAGGGAGATGTCCCAAATCCTGTTCACAGCTGGAAAGCCAGCTGCTCACACTCTGGGGCAGAAGGGAATGAACAGAAAGATCCATGAACACCACAGCAGGACAATTAAGACACCCCGTTCCCCTGTATTTTCTAAACCAAGTAAAATCCAGCTTTTCTCTCAGGTCAAAACAACTAAACATAGACAGAAAATTGATGCATAACCCATAGGCTGTCCATATAGGAATGCAGAGGCCAACTGTGTGTCTTACATGAAAAAGGAAAGCTAAGTATTTTTAAATACCTCATCTATGGTATAATACAAAGACCTCCTTATTAATTTTAAGTGAATTGTATATTTCTTTTAGAGGGATAATTTTTTTTTTTTTTTTGATACAGGTTCTTGTTCAGTCACCAAGGCTGGAGTACAGTGGCCTGATCATAGCTTACTGCAGCCTTGAACTACTGGGCTCAAGCAATCCTCATGCTTCAGCCTCCTAAGTAGCTAGGATTATAGGTGTATGCCACCAGGACTAGCTAATTTGAAAACAATTTTTTTAGAGATGGGGTCTTGCTGTGTTCACCAGGCTACGCTCAAGTGATCTTCTCAACTTGGCCTCCTTAAGCACTGGGATTATAGTCATGAACCACGATGCCTGACCCTTGAGTAAGAATTTGACTTAATAAGTTGGGTGCCAAGATACACAGGTCTTACTTTATTTCTTTACCTATTTGTTTTCATAAACATAACTAGATTTAGGTATCATTTGATATCTCCATTTCCCAGTATGTGCTTCTCTGCCATGCAGATATTATTGAGTGTAAATTATGTGTTTAATAATTTGGAGGCCTTTTATCATGAGCACCAAGCTAACTTCATGAATGCTTTCTGCTTCATTCCAGACTCAGTTTTCCTTTTTCTTTTCTCCTCTCTTGTGGCATCATTTCTCTGTCCATGGTGATGTTTGCAGCACCTCTGAATTTAAAGTCATTGATGAATTAATTAATAGGCTGTTTGCTGTCTTACTCAAGGCCATTAATGAAATTGCTAAATGTAGATTTACCATGTTTATTCTAACAAGAAGAATAGAAATTTACCCATGTAAATGTGTTTTGAATCTTCTATCAGTTTTCCCTGTGCATGTTTCTCATCTGCACAGCTTAACACAAGAATGGCCAGATTTGCTACATTATAGATGTATTGTGAATGCCTCTTAGCCCCAAATATGGCTCCAATCTCTCCACTTTGAAATAAAAAAAATACTATATAATATGGTTTACATAAATATGGCCTGTGAATCAAATAAAAACAGCAATTTTTTACCTTGTTCATTTGGATACCACCAATAACTAATCTGGGATAAAACAGGTACTTAATAAATACCTGTCTTGTGAACTAACTGGGTCACACATGCAGATACAGGACATTTGATAACCTATATTTCACGTCCCCATCCCAAGTCCTATAGAATCCACAAATAAATTGGACAGATTTCCTTAACAACATAAGGTAAAGTTTCTAAGTTGGGACTTTATGGTCCTTTGTCATTTTAGCAATTTTCATTCATGGAAAAGTTAAAATCATACAGATCACTATTCCATATTATTCTTTGAGGGTGTTCAGATCTTTCTTATAAAGAAGTATTTGACTATTTCAGCAAAATTGACAGAGGCATAAAAGTTCATCTATAAAACAATGTATTATCTGTAAATTTTGTTACGACAGTTTACATGGCACCTTATTTTTTACTTTGGGTTTTATCCATATTTATTTTTAAAATTCATCTTTTACTGACAAACAAGTATATAGTATATTAAAATACATATATACTTTTTACTAACTCAGATGGTTAACCCAACTTCAAGCACCAGAACACAATACAGTATAGTATTTTTAAAATGGAAACCACTTTTCCAGATCTTTTGGGGTTCCTTTTTATGTACTCAATAGTTGCAAAATAAATATATTAGCTCTATAAACTAGAAAATAATCCTTCTACAATGTGACTAAAACTTTCTTAATAAAAAGTGGGTAAAGGAATAATGCAATTTCAGAACTAAATATTTTCTTTATTTTAAAATGTTAATTTAAGGTGGCAACTAGTTTTAATCATTAAAAAAGTACACATAACAAAGATGGTAGGACCAGGCATGGTGGCTCATGCCTGTAATCCCAGCTCTTTGGGAGACTGGAGGCAGGAGGATCACTTGAACTCAGGGGTTCAAGGAGTGAGCTATGATCACATCACTGCACTCCAGCGTCGGCAACAGAGTGAGACCTTGCTTCTAAAAAAATAAAAAACAAAAATAGAAAGAAAGAAAAGGAAAGATAGTAAACCAAAATCAGTCATTTTAATTTGTGGAGCTCTATCTATTTTATTAAGAGAGAATAACCAGTCATACAGTGTACTGACAGACCACCCGGCTATAGTGAAATAAGAAATGCTGATATAAATATAGACCCCGGTTCCCAAAATTCACTGACTCACCAATAAGCACCATGGGCTTGCATCTCTGATTATGTTGGCTCAAATGTTCATTAGGCAGGCCTGTGGAGTAAATGAGAATTCTCGGGCCATGCCATTATAATGTGATAATAATGAATTATCACTTACCTAGAATGTTGCCACAATTTAGTTCTAAACTTTATACCTAATGATTTTATCTCCAAAATCAACCTGTGCTAAAGCAAGAAAAATGTGAAGAGATGGATTTCAAAAACCTGTTAGTGTTATTTGTTGTTTTAATAGACTGTTGTCTTGAGGAACACATGACATTGCAAATAATTCCCAGGTTTAGAATGAATTGGATCCTAATGACAGTGGATGTTAGTGCCACGAGGAAAGGATCAGAGAACATCCTTCCACTTTGGGTGGGTTTTATGGATGGCAGCTGAGGACATGGACATATGCTACAAAGTGCCACCTCTCCAGAAAATCTTCTCTCATTAGTGTAACCTTCTTAAAACTTCCTTTTTATGACCTTATCATACTTCACATTGCTTAGAGTTATTTGCACTCACCTTTTCTCATAAACTTATTGAGACAGTGACCTTCTTGTGATTCACCTCTGGAGCTCTCAATGAGCCTAGCAACCTAAATATACCATGTGCGTAGTAGATACATGCTGAAATGTTGAATAAACGAACTGAATTTAATTTACCAAATTACATTTGGTCAACTATAAAATATTCATTAATTGTCTAATAGGTACAGTAAAGATGGATAACTCTTTTAACATTTCTTAAGAAATAATTAAAGTTATTAGATATAAAGGGAAATTCAAAGAGAATTATTGAGTGTGGTATTAAAATGAATGTAAAGGAGAGAAAAAGTGTGTTCCTGTGTCCACTATGAAGAAAGATTATCTCTAGGAACTAAATGATCTATATTGCATGTGAAAAACTGTGAAAAATAAATATAACTTACTAAATAAGTGCTTAGTAGGTTGCTCATGTTAACCATGAACCTCGAATCAGATGGATTACCTACCTCAACTATAAACCTATGATTTTTAAAAAATCATCTTTAGAAAAAATAGAAAAGGCAAGCACACAAATTTTTATCTTCCCTGTTCAGTATATTTGATTCCATAAAACAGTCACAAAAAATCAATGCAGCCATATAAATCTTAAGCATTGAATTTCTTCAAACACTTTACACCGAGTCTATTATGCAGACTTATACAAACAGGTACATTGACAATTCTAGTAACGTTCCACAAGGATGGGGGTTATGCTTCTAAAATAATGAATATAATTGGAGGTAGAAAAGAAATGCTAAATTCAGTTTGTACCATTAGATTACTTAATAGTGTATTTACTGACAAGATATCCATGATGTAATTGATGCATATCTACCAGATATTAAACCTGTCCAGTTGCTGACACATTTCATATTTAACAACCGTAAGTGGCTGCTAAAAAAATACCAACTTAGTATTCAAATTTATCCAGACTTAGCCTACATAAATTTCCTTCGTTTCTCAAGGGTATAATCTGGTATTTATTTACTGATAACAAATAAATATATTTTATGTA